CTAATTTTTCAGCCCTTGGGTGTCTTGTCAATCTTTGCAAAACTGACTTTCTTTTGTTTGCCAAATATGCAATCTTCACATAGTCCGACATGTACATTCTTTAGATCCGTCAACTTTCCTTTTGACAAAAGTGTCTTCATCCTTTTCTCGCTCATATGACCAAGCCTTTGGTGCCATAGGTTTGATTTTCCATCAGCATCTGCTACTGCAATGATATTCTCTAAATTTGAGGTTACATAGAGAGTACTAGTCTTCTTACCACGAGCAATGACGAGTGCTCCTTTGGTAATCTTCCATTCACAGCCTGAAAAGGTTGTACCGTATCCTTCTCCATCAAGTTGTCCTACAGAAATCAAATTCCTTTTGAGGCCAGGAATATGTCTCACTCCTGTCAGCTTCCAGGTGGTCTGGTTTGGCAACTTTAATTGGATGTCTTCTTTTCCGACGATCTTTAAGGTTTCATCATCAGCTAGATGAACCTTCCCAAAATCACCACTGACATAGTTCTCCATGATTTCTCGGCATGGGGTGGAGTGGAAAGATGCCACTGAATCTAAGATCCATGATTCAATCGGACTGTTGACGCTTAGAATCATGGCATCACCACCTGTTTCCTCTGTCATGTTGGCAGATTCCTGTGTGATGGTATCTTTCTTCAGTGCTCGAAAATCTCTTGTAAAGTGACCATTCTTGCCACAATTATAACAGGTAAAATCTTTCTTTCCCGTTCTTGATCTTCCCCTTCTGGATTTCGATCTGCCACGATTTGAATTTCTTTATGAAGTTCTCCCTCTAGACTCCGTGTTCAAGGCTGAGGAGGTTGATGCTTCATCCGATTCTCTCCGTCGAATTTCTTCACTCAATACCAGATCTCGAACATCGTCGAATTTCAATTTGCTATTTCCCGACGAGCTGCTGACTGCTGTAACAGTAGCATTCCAACTGTCTGGTAGAGATGATAAGAGAATTAAAGCTTGAACTTCATCATCGAATTCAATTTCCACAGAACTCACTGAGTTGTGATTGTGTTGAGTTCATTTAGGTGTTATGCCACCGATGCCCCTTCCGCCATCGTCATAACTCCATGGGCTTGTCTGTCGAGAAGAGCCTAGTCTTCATTCTTCTTGCCCTCTGGTTGCTTTCTTGAGAGGGGTTGATATATATTTTTTTGGTACAGAAAATATTTGATGTGGATCTTCCAAAAGCCAAAGTCCGCACCATCGAACTTTTCAATTTTCACATTCCCTTCGTCTGCAGCCATCGCTCTCACTCGAATATGGCTTCGTTTGGATCGTTTCTGACAATTCTTTCAAACCACCGTCTATTAGAACACCTCCGTCGACAAATTCATATCGCCGACAAATTTTTTTCTATTCATGAAATTTACTATTCATATGAATAGTAATGAATAGTAACATCGCAAAAAAATGATAAAATTCACAACCAAAAGCTCTGATACCAGTTGTTAGGAAATAAACCGAGTACGAGTAATTTCCCTATAACCAGATTAGTGAGAATGTAAAATAAAAGCGGAAAAATAATACCCGAAATTGATAACGGAGTTTAGCCAATTATGCCTACGTCTCCGGACTGTTGCAGATCTTTTACTAAGAGAAAATTTACAGGTGTTTACAAAACACTCACTGCTCATAAGAAAGCTCTCTAGTATTGGGAGAAAGAAATGATTTGGGATGATTTTGAAGCTAAATGGGCTAGGGTATTTATAGTTGAAGCTTAAAGACTAATCTTATAAATACCCTAAAGAGTGCAATGGCTAAAACATAATTAACCCAGTTTTAATTTCAATAAAATATTGGGGCACCGAATTCGATGCCTCCTTTGCTGAAAACTCCAGCCTTGTATTGAAAAAAGGCATAGGCGGTGCCCCCTGCCCCCCATTGAAATGTATCAGCCGCAATTCTTGACTTCTCCAACAGTTATTGGTCGATCGATGGTATGAACCTTTTTGGATAGGGTTGGTCGGTTTTGGGTCGTACTTGCTACTGTCGGCTGTAGATGGTTCCTGTTATCACCCTTCGACCGTTTTGACTTTCTTTGGATGTTGTCGGGTTATCACCAACCTCCTTAATGATACCATGGCTGCCACCACCCATGGTCGTGGGCAGTGGACTCCAGCAACCCTTTTGTTTAAAATTATCAACCCTTATCCGAACCGAACCTCGCTGCTAAATTCTTATTCGAATAAAAAATTATTTTATTGTCATTGTTAAATTGTTTTTATAAATTGAAAAATGTGTAGATTGGGATTTAAAGTTGAACATCGCAATTTTGGTAGGAGATACCGAATCGAGAATTAATTTACTATCTCTTCCGCTATTACCCACAAACTTCGAACTGACCTGTAAAGCTTGTGTTGACCATGAGTGTTAATAGACAAATTTTAGTATGTTTGGTCTCATTGTTAATTTTTAGAATTATTTATTTATTTAAACTATTTCTTAAGCTCTGATTCGAGTCGATCTAATATTCATCTGACCATGGAAAAGAGGTTATTATCGTCCTTAATTGTTACTCAAGGTGCGTCTCTCTATTCGGTGCTATATTATGTTGTTTATTTACTTGTATGGTTGAAATTGATTGAAAACATGTTTGACTGGAAAATTGATTGTGATAGATATAAAAATGAAATGTGATACATGTTGAACTATCGAAATAGGAATATTGTTGTGCTTTCGTAATATGTGAATATGTTGAATTGCCGAAATCGAAATATATGCTTCAGAATATTTGTTTATGAATTATTGTTAATCGGATTGGATATTGGGCAATGTTGTATCTGGGCCTGGGCAGGAGGGGTGCCTACCTAGGGCCCAAAATTGTTATAATGTATTATAGGGTCCCAATATTTGAAATATTTGTTATTATGGTTTTAATTTTTTTCTAATATTTATTATTAGGGCCTGTTTTTTATAAGTTATTTTTTCTAAAATTTGTATAAGTGTCTAACTTTTTATCAATATTTTTTTCTAACATTTGTTATTAAAGGCCCATTTTTTTCCCAAATGCTTGTTATTAGGAGTCCAATTTTTTCAATATTTGTTATTAGTGGCACACTTTTAAAATTTAATTTTTTTCTAATATTTATTTTTTGTTATGAATCTAATTTTTTAATACTTTTTTTAGAGCTTCAATTTTTTAATATTTGTTATTATGAGCATACTCTTAAAATTTACTTTTTTTAATATTTTGCTATTATAGACTCATTTTTTTCCAATACTTACTATTATGAAGCTACCCTTAAAAATTATTTTTAACACTTATTATTATGAACAATTACTTAAATAACGATATATAACCGCAACAATGAATGTTATGCAGTTGTAACGACATCATCAAAAACTGCGCTATCAACAATCATTATGTTCACAATAGTATATGTTATTAAAAATCCATAACCACAATATCATTTGTTATGTTCACAATTATGTTAAACACAATGCGATCGAAAAACACAAATACAAATTATAATTTAAACATATGAATATGGCCTAATTTTTTAGTTCGTCCATGACCACCAAAATCTCAAAAAAGGGTCTGACATCGGCTATGTATGTCATTTTGCATGTCATATTGGGTTAGATTTTGATAGGGGAAGTTCAACGTGTTCACTCGATGGGATGAATGCCACTTTTGGGTTTTGTAGCCTCTACCTTTATGGTGAACCCCACTATAGATAGTGTGATTGTAGATAGTGTGGTTCTGGGGAACCTACTCTTCAAATGGTGTGATAAGCGTATGGGTGCATAGTCATTTGCATGACATTCAAATTGTGTTTATCTCTGGTTGACTCGGAATTATGATTATATTTGGTTGATTCAGACTTTATTATGTTTTGCGAACTATTGCACTTCAGAGACATGTTAAGCTTATTAGCTTACGCCTCATAGTTCCTCTCTTTTAGATACTCGGATTAAGTGAACCGGTACTTGGAGTTACAACACTATTCAAATTTCATTATTTTCATAGTATGACATTTTACTCGAATTTTCTATTCTATATTTTATTAGTATTTTATTTGAGTAATATTTATTATGTATAAATATTTTGGGACTTTGGCTATTAATTTTGTTTTGGACTTTGGACTTGAAATTTGGATTTGATAAATGCTTTTTTTATGTTTTTAATTATTATTATTTGATTTATTTCGATTTTTTAAAGCTTTTGAAATCAATAAATGGGAGGGATAATAATAAAATATTTTCAATAACATTTGAGTATAATTTTGGAGATAAATTAAATGAATCTTCTGGATCCGGCCTGTCCGTCTAGACCGGGTAAAGAGAGTCACAGAATTTGGTGGTGGATAACCAGATCCACGTGATGATAACAAAAAGAAAAAGGAAGAAGATTTAGAGCTGCAATCTCATAGGGAGAAAAGAAGAGAATAAAAGAGTGTTTGGCAACTTCGACAACCATGATTTTTTCCTCGGAGAAGTTGAGTTCAGTTATAAGCTTAGCAACTTCATCGGCCGTGCTAACAGTGAGTTTAGATCTGATTTTCTTTCAAAAGTCGAATGAGAGCCTTCTGTGAGTAGTTAGACAGTCCTTGAGCCTTGGTTGCAGTCAATAACCTTAAGATTAAGAGTGCACGTGGGTTGGATCAAAAAATTGAAAGAGAGCGGTTTGACCCGATTAAGCAATATGGAAAGCTTAGGTCTTCGATTCCATGCATATAAAGTTTAGTGATTAAATTAAAAAAATTAAAAGTTTATCTTAATAAAATAGGAGAGGGGGAGTGAAATTCAGTTATTAATTATATAATTTATCTTAATAAAATATAACTGAGTGACTTGAATGTTATTTTTTTAAATAAAACGATTTAATTATAATATTTTAAAATTAAATGACTCGTTTAAAAATTTATTAATATTTGAGTGACATGCATTTTTGATTTTACACAAAAAGAGAAAAAAATGTAAAAAAGAAGAAGAAGAAGAAGAAAGATCATGGAAATATGTAATATAAACGGCTTTATGACATTGAATAAAGCGGAAGGAAGAAAGCACGGCAACATTATCAATCAAAACCCTTTCCATAAACTTTCTTGTTTGCCTTTCCATTTTTGTTTTTTTTAAAGGAATTCCGATGGAAGACGACGATGAGTTTGGGGATCTTTACACGGACGTTCTCAGGCCATTCTCATCAACATCCGAACCGACGTCGTCCGCATCCGTTGCTCCGCAGCCGCACCGGCCTTCTCCTGCACCCACGCATCTCCACCTTGCGATTGATCTCAACCTTCAATCTCAAGACGACGGCAATACCCTCTTCGGAGCTCCACCTGTAATCCACTCCGCCCAAACCCTACCCCTCTTCAAATCAATTCCTCCTCCAGCTGCCCCTGATACTGCAGCTCCGGATTCGATCCCTTCCACCCATTCAGCTCCCGAATCGATGGTTCTGGATCCTAAAAAAGAACTGGAACATGAAAAAGAGGTTGGATTTGATTTTGAAGAGGGGGCTAGTAATGGAATTGAGGACATCGGCTCAATTGATCCGTTAATCCCGGGTTTAACCGAAGTGGTTCACCAGGAAGACTACGATAACGGAATACAAGGCAGCCAGGCGGAAGCCGATGGAGGAAGGGATGATTGGGATAGTGACAGTGAAGATGATCTACAGATAGTATTAAACGACAACCACCACGGTCCGATGGCTATGGAAACCGGAGGAATGATGGGAGAAGATGGTGATGACGACGAAGATGGGGACCCGCTTGTGATACTGGCTGATGGAGATGCAAACCAAGGGACTGGGGAGCAAGAATGGGGCGAAGAAGGAGGGCAGGCTGCGGATGTGGAGAAAAACGAAGGCGGAGAAGCAGGGAAGGTTGGTGGCGCCGGTAGAGGAATTGTCCTTGCACCGAAAATTGGGTACAGCAGTCATGGATACCATCAGCTTCATTCTCAGTTTAAGGTCAGTGTGTTAATTAAAGGGGTTTTTGTTTGTCATATGCCCCGATTGTTTGATGAATCATTAGGCTTAATTTGTTATAGTTATTGGTTTGTAAATTTTGTACATACTGAAATGATAAATAATAGTCAGAAGATTTGACTGTTGATTACATTGTGTCGTTTTCTGTTTCAATATCATATTTGAATATTGGAGATTGTACCATTCAATCAGTAACCATTATGCTTATCAATGATGTCGACTATCCAGCCTGTTTGGCTACCCTTTGGCTTTGCTCGTGGCAGGCTCAGAGGCACTTCCATTGATATTAATAGAAGAGCGTTTCTGTTTCACTCCAAATCTCGCTTACTTCAAAGGGTTTCAAACATTTTTCATGTATTGTCGGCTGATATTGTAAGTTGTAAGAAAGGGCCCTTTAATTAATCTTCCTTCTGATCCTAAGCTTGAACTAGACAACTCCAAAAATAAAAAAAGAAGAAACTTCAGTCATAAGTTCTAATCTCTGAATGTTATGGGGCACATTAGTTAATGGTCTCATTAGCAAAACCTTTGTAGAAGAGGTACACAACTACAACCACAGCTAATGCTTTTTCAGATATAAATGTGAAGTTAACTGTCTCCTACACCAATACATCTCTAGGAGCTTTTGAAGATGAAAATTTACGTTCCAAACTTTTTCTTTATCTCTGTGTAAAAGAATCTGTGTTCAAGAGCAGCTCCAGATACTTCTGCAAAGAAAAAGTGCAAACAGCCTATCAATAAAAGAGATGAACCTTTAGCCAGTAACATTGTTCTAGCAAATTGAACGCCAAATGTTTTCTGTTTCTTGAAATGCAAGTTCAAGTCAACTGCTCAATTTTGCTGAAACTACACTTGTTTTACCTGTTTGAAACCATTTTCAAACAGCAGTGGATTTGATTTAAACCAAGCCTTGTCATTTTGTTATAGAGTCGAAGCTATTTCCAGTTCCAGCTTGAGATTTGTTATTGTAATTGACATCTTGGTTGCTCTTAAATTCTGCAACTTTGTTAATTATATTATAAGATGTTCATGTGCCACTTATTCCTTGTTTTGGCTTATTATATCGTTAGCTTTATGTTACAATCAGTGTGTCGTTTGATATCCTTGTTTCTTAATGTGTATACTATTAAGCATTTCTTGTTTATCTAAAGAATTTGATTTGGCTGTTTCTTTAACTTAGAAGGAAACTTAATCTTGAATGTGTTATCTAATGGAAAGTTTGATGCGCATATGTTGAGGTTCTGATTGACTGATTGTCTGTTGTAAACTTTTATAGAGGAGAAAAAAAATTCATTGCTGGATGATCATCCCATTTCTTTTATTCTGGTTTTATGGCTGCTTGTTCACTTTGGTTTTTGATTAATCATTAATGCTGTGATCTATTTTCTGCTACATGGCAGTATGTAAGACCCAGTGCAGCACCTATGCTTGGAGCCACTGAGGGCAGTTCTGGAGGAGCCCCAGATCAGGTTTCTCCAATGATGGGTGCCATGGCTGGTCATGGTAGAGGTGATTGGAGACCATCTGGAATGAAAGCTGGCCTTCCCATGCCAAAAGGTTTCCATCCTAATTTTGGAGCGCCTGGCCGGGGTAACAACATGGCAAGACGCAGTTTTGGTGGCGGGCTGGATTTCATGCTTCCTTCTCACAAGTAATTGCTTAATTTTCTATATTTGTGTTATTATTCAATGTTAGTTGATGGTGTTAATCTTGATCTTGTTATAATAAATGATTTTATTTTGGATTTTAGAAGCTTATAATGTAGAGAAAATTTACTTGTTATATCTTTTTCTTCTAATATCGTGTTCAATTTCTCTTAGTTTTACTGTTATTTTGCCCAACTAATTTTTTTAACTGATCCTATGTGGTTTCAGGATTATATTCGAAGTCAAGATTGACAATTTTGAGGAAAAGCCATGGAAATATCCTGGTGTTGATCTCTCTGACTTTTTCAACTTTGGCCTAAATGAGGACAGCTGGAAAGATTATTGCAAACAACTGGTAATCATTCATTTTCGATGATTCCTTCTTTCATTACTGCTGGAACTAAGGCCTAAGGGGTTGGGTTTTAATATATTGTAGGAACAACGCCGCCTGGAGACAACCATGCAAAGCAAAATTCGAGTTTATGAAAGTGGGAGAACAGAGCAGGTAATTTGGTGTTTATTTATATCTGGAAAAATGTTTCCTTTTAACAGAAAAATATTTGGATTGATGGCTCGGCTTCTGCAGTTCTGCTATTGCTATTGAGGGCATTACTTTCTTGGTTTCTTCTAGGATTATGATCCAGATTTGCCTCCAGAATTGGCAGCAGCAACTGGGCAAGTGGTTCCAGCTGGTGTTTCTAATATTGTAAACTCAAATGGTGGACAAAATGACATGACAAAAGTGGCTGATCGAATGCGACCGCCACTAGTAAGCTTCATTTGTTGGTTTTACATTGCATGCATTTGATCATAAAAGCAACCCTGTTAGATGTTGTAGATACTTTAATCATACTTATATTTTCCCGTTTACCATGATCAGGCGTCCAATATCAACCAAGTATTTATCTTGTGAATGAATAATTTGATGCATTCTAGACATGTTGCACAATATCTTTATATCTATTCAATACCATTTTTTAACTGTGCCAGCCAACTGGAAGACCGATACAAGTGGAGGGAGGTTCTGGGGAACGCCTCCCTTCCATTGATACTCGGCCACCTCGTATCCGTGATTCAGATACGATCATTGAGGTTAGCTGTCAAACCTTGTGTCAATTGCACTTAGCCAAGGCTTATTTGGTATATATTTGCTGCTTATGCAAAATTGTTTAACTCTCAATTGTTTAAACAGATTGTCTGTCAGGATGCTCTAGATGATGATTCCTCCACAGGCAATGGTGGTGGTGATCGTGCCGAAAATGATCCGCCAATAGAGGATCTTAGAGGAGATGTTGCGTCTGAAGCTGAGATTGTACGCAAAGATACTGAATATTTTAATGGTTTTCCAGATGCTAGTAAAATTCGAAAGGAGCTAGTTGGAAGAACTGTGAATTTTGTTCATAATGCGCATGAAGACAATAAGGCTTTCCCTTTCCCTGTGGACGCATCACGTCCATATGGTCCTGGATCTAGGGGTCAGGGTCCTATGGATCCTATTGAAAACTCGGGCGGCCCTCATGACGAGAGGTATGGAAATGGAACTTTAATTAATTTATTGTCATTTCTTTTGGATAAGGTTCATAATATTATTTAACATCAATATTGTTTCTTTCTTTTCATTTTTGATTTAATTGTTCTAATGTTATTAATCCTCTCCTTAAACATACAGGAATCGACAGGGAAGAGCACATAAGAGATCCCCATGCATGACACCTATTCATGGTAAATTGGATAATGTCCATGATGCCGATGAGGAAGAATCTATTGAAAGCATGGATGGTAAATCTGCTCTTGTAGTTAGAAATCCCAGGGAGTTAAGGGTGGAGCCAAAGGATGATGCTGATGAAGAACTTGAGCCAGCTGATGGAAGCCCTGGTACAGAAAAGGACGAGCTAATAAATGGCACCCATAAGGATGAGAGTTCACTTAAACCCATGCAAACTGAAAAAATAAGATCTGAAGTAGAGCATTGGAATCGAGAACTTGACGATGATGAGGATTCTAGGGCTGCAAGAAGTAGTGAAAACAGCAAAGCAAGATCTGGCAGCAGCAGAGATTATCAGAAGTGGCGAGATGGTGCCGAGGAAGTTGTTCGAGGCGAACATTCTTCTCGCATTGGGATTGTGAAGAAATATATTGATGAACATGATCAAATTTGGAGAAAAGACCATGATGGGGGACATGATGTGGAAATAAATCGCATGGCAGGTAAACCAGGAGAGGATTCTTATCCTCTTAGAGACTTTGACACTAGCTTGTCACATAATATGCATGTTAAAACAGAAGGTTCCATTAGGCGAAGGGAGAGTGACAACCCTGATGGTACTCGTCGGTGGAGAGAAGATGATTTTTATGGCAGGACAAATAAAACTGAAGACTTAAGAAAGAGAGATCGTGATAATGAAATGGGTTATAGGAACAGGGCTAAGGTTCGAGAAAGTGAGAGGAGTGACAAAGATTATTATCCACGTAGAAAACAATTGGACAATTTCTGTTACAAGGATGTCAGTGCAAGACATAGGGAAAGAGATGATAATTTGGAGAGTAAGCACAAAGCAGCTGATGATTACCACAGCAAAAGAAGGAAAGATGAAGAGTATCTGAAGAGGGGTCATGCAGACAAAGAGGACATCCTGCATGGACGTAGAGAATCCAGCAGCAGTCGCCGGAAACGGGAAAGGGAAGAAACCTTAGATCCACGTGAGAGAGATGAGCAACCAAGAATAAGAGATAATTTTGATGAACATCTGTCAGCTTGGCACACGGATGAGGTTTCGTTGCACAGAGAGAGGGTTGAGATGCAGCGGGAGAGGGATGAATCGCATAGGCTAAAGCAATCCCATGATGGAAGTTTATCAAAACGGGAGAGAGAGGAAGTACGAGGTACTGTGAGGAGTGGCCGTGGTTTGGAAGACAAAGCTTGGGTTGGCCATACCAGGGGAAAGGATGGATATAAAGTTTCTGAAAAAGAATACCAACTCAAAGAGACGTTACGCCAAAGTGAACAAGTAAATAGAAGGGATTGGAATGATGATGACAAAAGCCAAAGAGGGCGTGAAGATTCGTATGCTCGTGGACACCAATTTAGTAATTATGAGAGAAAATCCAGGCAGGAAAGGTCAAGCACTCAGAGTGACCATGCTGCAATTGCTTCAGATAGCCAAAAGGTACATGAGAAGAAACATAAAGAAAACACTAAGAAGAATAGCCAAAAGGGGAATCCAATCACTTTGAGTTCTTCCAGGAAAAGCCAAGAAGATTTAAGTGGTCACAACAATGAAACGGTAAGTTTTGTAGACTCAAGGACATAATGTTTCTTTAGTAGTAGGAGAAAAACTCCACGGCATTTTCAGGAAATGTGCATATATATAAGGATAAATCTTCTGTTGAAAAATGATGCAGTTTCTTCAAAAGTTGAGATTCTAGAGGCTTTAATTACTCTTATCATCGTTGTTTTTGAAACATCTTTTAATCAATATCTGTTAAGAATTTGGAGGACTCTGTCTCGGTTCCAACACAATTCTCATGCCCCAGCTATATCTGTTAGATTGAGAATAATTTTCTCAGTAAATATTCAACTCTATAGACAAAAATACTCTTATTTCTACTTTCATATTAACATGTAAAGGTTGTACTTCTAAAAGAAAATGGTTAGTTCATCTATTGAAATTGTTATTATTGGTATTATTATTACTCTTTCCCTTGCCTAGGGCTTGAAATGTGTTGAGAAGAACCCAATACAGCATAACTCTCTGAAAAAACATAGAGAAGATGCTTCTTCAGATGACGAACAGAAAGAGTCGAAACGAGGGCGTTCCAAATTGGAACGATGGACAAGCCATACTGAGAGGGATTACAGTGTCAACAGCAAGTCATCAGCTTCCTTGAAGTTCAAGGAGATTGAGATGATTAATAATGTGGTATCTTCTGAATCTTACAAAATTGCAGATGGACCTGGTAAGTTGGTTCAGCCTGCTGAGAACCACTATCCTCCTCTGTCTGACAATAAAAATGTTAGTGAGCCAGAGATCAAGGATGCTGATACAAGGCCATTGGAGGATCAGAACCTCGACACTGTCGAGAAACTGAAGAAGCGAAGTGAGAGGTTTGAACTTTCAATGCCCAAGGAAAAAGATGCTGCAGAAATAAAGACGGAGAGCAAGACACAACCTTCAGTCAAGAATGGTGGAGCCCCTGTAGATTCGGAGATTAAACATGAGAGACCTGCTCGAAAACGAAGGTGGGTCAACAACTGATAGTGGAATAAGCAACGTACATTTTTGCTACGTGCGGTATATTTTGAAGTGGCCTCTATATGGTTCCCAGGATGAGGATTTAACACAGTTACTTTCATAGCTTGTATGCTATTGTAACAATGCTGCTGCCAAGTACTTTTTTTAATCTTTCCAAAGCTATGTGTATACATACACCAGAGAATGTAACATTAAAGTAGTCGAAAATCGTTCCACATATCCTATTTAGAGTGGAATTGAGTTGTGTACTGTTCATCCGGATTATCTATGGTGTGATGAGGATACACCGAAGAAAATATTCGCACTCATCGCAGCCGAGAAAATATTCGCCTGTATAAAGTTGGCGGCATCATGGATAAGGAACGTGTTCTGATGCTTATAAACTTTAATTTTGATAGCATTGAAGTTTTAATAAAAAAACTGGTACTAACCATCGAGGAGAAATTAGAGACTTTGCATTTGCAATGGTTGGAAAAGGTTGTGTAAAATCTATCATTTGTATTAGTCTTACGTTAGCTTGACTAGATCATGTCAAATTTCTCATTGTTCATTGTTTTTCTTGCATTTCTTAAACTGTGCTCTTTGTTTGTTAAACTGTTTCATTTTCTGTTGTCAGAAAAATGACCGGGAAAGTGCAAAACAGAAACGTACAACACATTCTTCTTTATATTTCCTTTTATGTGGTTATAAAACAACAGCTAACACAATTAGATGATGCCGACATTCTATTAAAAGACTAATTGAAAATGCATAAAGGAATGTGCTTGGTGTAGCCATGGAATGGAGAGCTTCATTAGTCAATATTCAACCAGAAATTGACAAGCCTTGAAAATGACCACCTTTAAATTCTGGGTTTTCTTTCTCTCTTAAAATTCAACTTGGTAACAGTCCGAACGCTGGATAGTTTCTTAGTTCGTTACGGTATTCAAAGACTTTGATTATTCAACTGCATAAAAATAAATGTTCTCTGCTATGAATTTACTCCGAAAAGAAATACAGACCTTAGAAACAAAATGTGCAATGTTTATCGTTCAAGAATAGTCGAAAAGAAGAACTCTAGACGTGTAGATCTTGCATTACAAATTATAGAACTTTCATGCATTCTCTCTGTGCCAAAGGTTACTTCTTCAATGGCTCCTAAATCCTTCCTCTTCTTCATCCTCCTCTGGCTGTTTCTTTCATTTAAACCAAGCTTAAGCTCACAATGGATCAAATCTGGTTATTGGGATTCCCCTTCTCGTTTCCGAAATAAATTCTGCTCTTTTCACTCATCCTTTTTGTGCTTTTGCTCATGTAAACTCAACCTCCTACCAGCTTTTTATGGATCTCTCAAATGAACAATCTTTCTCCAACTTCACAAATGTTGTAAAACTAAAGAATCCATCGATTACTACACTTTTGTCCATTTGGGTTGGAGGAAGTGAGTGGACCGCCGAAAAGTTTTCATCGAATCTTCAATCGAAACAGCCAGAATTTATGGTTTCCATGGCTTAGACCTTTATGAGGTTAAGCCTATAACTGGCACCAATACGAACAGTTTGGGTACCTTTTTGGATGAGTGGCGAGATGAGGTAGCCGAGTCGAGAAACTCAGGTAAGCCACAGTTGCTGTTAACTATGTCGGCCTATCGGTTGCCAATCGTCGACTCAGTGAGTTATCCTATTGATTCTGCAAAAAGAAACCTGGATTAGGTAAATATTATGGCATATGACTACTATGTGCCAACACTAGACAGGGTTACTGGTTTTCATGCAGCTTTATATGACCCATCAGGAAGGGCCAACACTGATGCTGGTATTAGGGAATGGTTAAATACAGGATTCCCTGCTGAAAAGCTAGTTTTGGGTTTGCCTTACTATGGGTATGCATGGAACCTTGTTAACTAGGTTGACAATGGCATCGGTTCAACAGCTTCCGGGCCGGCTGTCACGCTTAATGGTAACTTAAGGTATATGTATACCATATTTGATACAGTTCAACCTAGCCTCACTTGGATGGATGGTGAAGTCAAGGTTGTACCTTTGATTGTTTCGATCTAGGAAAGCAACAAGTATCTTGCACAAACAAGAAAACTAAAAAAAATGGTTAAATGAAAGTAATGAAATGGAAAGATAAATATAGCAGCGGAAAATATAGATAAGTTGGTGATATGTTTAAAGGACATGATGAAGTATGGTAATGGAAGTAAAATGAAGGTGATGGAGATGAATATGAAAAGTAGTATCTCAAAGAAGACTCAAAGAAGAATCAATGTTAAAGAACAAAGACCCAAACTTTATATTGCTTCTTTAAGGGATGGTAAACAAGGACTTTGACCCACTATCTATAAAGAGATAGGAACCATAAGTATCAGGGTGACATAGATAGGGGTGACGCCACAAGCATAAGCTTGATAAGTCGATAAAGTTCACTTAAGAACTAAAGAGAGAAACTCTCACAAATATTTGATTAAACAAAGTGAATTGGTCTTTACAAATGAAATGGAAAGCTATTTATAGGCCTAAGAGATGTCTAGGATGCACATACAAGATTTAATGATTGAACATTCATGGATGAATGTTCATCCTTAAGTAGATACAATATACGTCCCTTATGCAAGTTCATGGACTAATAAAATAAATGAATGCTCATCCATTTAAGTGAATACATCTTCATAGCCGAATTCATCCTCTCTTGATGTGAACATGTTGGTTCATTTCCTTGCATGAATTTGCAGGAATGTTTCACTGTATGTTCGGGCCCCTTTGGAATGCATGCACCAAATGTGAACGTGACTCATAGGCTCCCTTCATGCACTTGGATTTGGTGAATGAGTTTGAAAATAATGCATCCATCTCCCTTGAATATGAACAAGTCATTTAGCCTCCTTGTATGATTGTACACGCCATAAATGGATTCATGAAGGTGGAAATGCATCAGGTGTGAACATGGCTCTTCATTTGGTGTAAATCCCGTACTTATTTCCAGCCTGCACTGTCTTAATTAATATGGGTATATCTTGAGCTCCCAATATCGGATTGATATGATTCAAAGTGCGTTGGAAAGATAAGAGATAGGGGATTAAATGTTAAGAAGACTTTATCACCCAAAGATGCTTTGAACATGTTCAAAAAGGACGATCAATCTGACTGACGTGAACTGTCCATCCAACTCTTCAATTGCCTTTAGTCTACTTAGCATCCAATGTACCTAGACAAAGTATGTAAACAAATAATTAGATAGGAATTGAGCTATTATAATTATGAATCCATTTTTCCACCTATGTTATGAATGCAAATGAGCTAACTATGAATGCATATGCATTGAATGAGTTATATAAAGATGTGAATTAATAAGTCATGCATGAATATCATATATTATACATATAAATGACATCATATAATATTCAAGCAAAAATTAAGAATAAGATAAACATATTCACGTGACATGTAATGCACAAATGAGTAAATAAATAATAAAATAAGGTAAGACTCCCTTAGAATCAACAAGGCAGAACGTCCATGAAGTGATCATGTGTTGAAGAAGTTTGGTCCTTGGCATTATCGCATCATCCCCCCCTTCTTTAGAGCGATTTGTCCTCAAATCGAAGGCTTTTGTCATTGATTGATCCATTGGTGTAAGAAAGGATGAATGAAGATCATTATGCCTATTAGGGTATGCATGAATTTCTTTGAATCCTTCAAGTAGGTAAGGCATGCCAACTTTAGTCTTTGTACCCTTCCACATTATGAATCTTGAATAGTTGGATAATGTTCGTTTCTTTTCCTTGAATTGATGATCACAAGAAAGAACACTTCCATGTAAATGATTCAATGTGCTACAAAATATAAATAAGTTAGAACATGAAACATCATTAACAATGTGAATGAACATACAAGATTCATTAAAGTTCATGAATGAAATTTGGTACGTTGAAACTTCCCTTTCATAAGGTTGTTTGAACTTTGAATGTAGAATGAATGTACTTCGAATGTCAAAGAGCACATGCTTTGGAATACCAAATGTTACAACCTTTGGAACTTCAATGGACAAATGTGATTCATCAATTTGCAATGGTATGGCCTTTGGAATAAGCTGCAAATCAAATGAAATAATAGGAAGAAAAGACTAATTAGTATAAAGTAAAACTTCCTTCTCCTCATATTCTTTTCTCTCATGCTCATGTTTGTTTTGAATTCTCTCTTCAATCTCACTCTCATGTTTTACAACACACTCATTTTGACTCTCAATGCTCTTACTCTCATTTTCAATTACTCCAATGGATTTCTCAAGCAAAATCACACTCTTATTTTCAACTCCAAATGTCCTGGTTTTCTCACGATGTTCTTCTTTGATTTGTGCAAGTTCAAATCTCTCCACTCTTATTTGTTTTTCATGTAAAACTTCTCTTTCAACTTTCTTCATGGCTTTAGTTTCCTCTCATTCCTCTATACGTGACTTAAGGGTCTCTTGGCATTCATGGACTTGATTTGGGCACATTGGAACCAATGTGATCTTTCTCCCTTGGTGTTTGAATGAATACTTATTGGAGAACCCATCATACAATGCTTGTTTATCAAACTGCCAAGATCGACCGAAAAGAAGATGGCTTGAATTAATGGAGGCAACATCACAAAAGACTTTATCTTCATATCTCCCAATTGAAAAGGGCACAAGTACTTGCTCTATGACTTCGAACTCTTATTCTTCATTTAATCCTTGCAAAACGTATGGGCTGTGATGTTTGAATTTTGTAAGTCCCAACTTCTTGACCATGTATGTGCTTGCAATGTTTGTGCAACTTCCACTATCAATGGCTACAAGACATACTTTGCCATCTTTACCGTTTACATGGCAACGAGTATGAAATGCATTCTCTCTTTGTTGAATGTTCTCCATTGCTTGGGAAGAGGAAAGATCAAATAACATTGTTAGTAAAAATTTGAAATGTGAAAATTAGGACCTTACCAAATTTCACACAACAAAACCTCACGGTCACTCCAAAAAAAACATTGTGATATCACTCCACTCAAGCACTCGTGTTTCACTCGGGAATATGTATTTGGCTTTTGTAATTCCCCTTTTGATCTCACACACTCGATTAGCCTTTTTCCACTCGTTCCTCTCTTGTAAAGTTCTTAAAAGAACTAACTCGAGACCTTTCAAGTGCTATGGACGTCGGCTGAAAAATTTGTTAGTGTAGAGGAAAAAATAGAAAGGTAGAAAGATTAAATAATGAATGGTGGTCTTATAAAAGTAAGAAAAAGAAAGGTTCACTTACAATG